GTATAAATTGTCACGCTGGATTTGAATGAGTATAAATTGTCACGTTGGATTTGAATGGAGTATAAACTGTCACGTTGGATTTGAGTGGAGTATAAATTGTCACGCTGGATTTGAATGGAGTATAAATTGTCACGCTGGATTTGAATGGAGTATAAATTGTCACGTTGGATTTGAATGGAGTATAAATTGTCACGTTGGATTTGAATGGAGTATAAATTGTCACGTTGGGCTTGAATGGAGTATAAACTGTCACGCTGGATTTGAATGGAGTATAAACTGTCACTTTGGATTTAAATGGAGTATAAATTGTCACGTTGGATTTGTATGGAGTATAAACTGTCACGTTGGATTTGAATGGAGTATAAACTGTCATGTTGGATTTGAATGGAGTATAAATTGTCACGTCGGATTTGAATGGAGTATAAACTGTCACGCTGGATTTGAATGGAGTATAAATTGTCACGTTGGGCTTGAATGGAGTATAAATTGTCACGTTGGGCTTGAATGGGATATAGACTGTCACGTTAGGTTTGAATGGAGTATAAACTGTCACGTTGGGTTGAATGGAGTATAAACTGTCACGTTGGGTTTGAATGGAGTATAAACCGTCACGTTGGGTTTGAATGGAGTATAAACCGTCACGTTGGGTTTGAATGGAGTATAAACCGTCACGCTGGATTTGAATGGAGCATAAACTGTCACATTGGATTTGAATGGAGTATATATCGTCATGCGTGAGAGGAATTACTGTAAAAAAGAATGAGCTGACTTTTAGAAAACCTGGGTAGAACAGTTCATGCATGGATGGCCCCCATCCACACATACTTACAATCAGATCTACTCGAAAATATTTACTAGCATGTGAGTATGCGATAGGGGGGGGGTACTCTGTTGTGTACGTTTTTAAGTCGAGAAACGGTTATTGTAAAATGTAACGTTATGTAATGTTATTTGGCCTGTCATAGACAGCGTTGAAGAGTGCGGCACGAGAGCTTATCCTGGTGAAACATCTTTGACAGTGCCCTATACTAAACGATCACACCGACACTTTTCAAATACGAGGATAAGTTATATTAACATCATCGCCACTATGACCACTATGAGGATGACGCTGTCATGGACTGTCTATAAACGTTTACAGGTAATGACAAGATGTTAGCAAAAACCGATTAAACATGGTGGAGCAAACGTTACTATATAGTTAGTACTATACATTTGGTATTAAAGGAAATATTACGAAAATAATTTAAACCAATTATGTATTGTTTGTTTCAGAGTAAAAGGATAGAAATTAAACGTATGGATACAACTTGTTTTATAACTGCTGCCAGTATAACACGCGTGGGTGTAGTAATGGTATATGTTAAAACCAACATAAAAGTTAAAGAAATTGAAACTAATGAGACATTAGTAGGAAAATTTTGACGTGTGTATCTAGAAAAAAAGTTATTTATTTATAATAGCGCCCCCCAGTGGCACAGCGGTATGTCTGCGGACTTACAATAGCTATTTATGGATCACAATCTTTACAATATATGGGTTATTGTACGAAATAGAAATAGAATTAAAATAAAATTAAAAATGTAATTTGTGTTGGTGATATAAACATTGATTTGTTAGAGGAAACGACTTGCGTAAGTGATTGTATTGACTTAATAATTGTGTTTGGTTTTGAATGATATGTAAATGAAGTAACTAGTAATGTTTAAATTATGTTAGAAAAATAATTATATGTAGCAATTATAAAAATACCAATAACAGATAGTTACACTATAGCAATAAAAATCAATATTTATGGAAAATCAATCAATGATATAGAAAGAGAAATAGCTTATGAAAAAATCTATTATCAATTTTTAAAATGAAATCTAAATATATGAAATAATAGAATTGATAAAAGTTAAAGATATAATGCATAAAAAAACAAACATATCCCTTCAATAAAATTAATCAAAAACTAAGAAAAACAAAAAATTAATACTCAAATTATTTTTTGAAATATGAAAAGGATATAAAAAAATGGCATTTTGTTAATAGGCTAATTGATAAAAATAAGTAAATAATATTACCTGATGGTGCAGATAGTGCCAGAAAAAATAAGGTAATTAGAAATTTAGTTAATGAATTTAATAAGTATCTTATAAATATAGCAGTATCTTATAAGTATCTTATAAATATAGCAGGAATTATAAAACAACTTGATAATAAACTATGCAAAAGATTTAATATACACAGAAACAGTAATCCCACATTTTTTTATTTTGTACATGTAATATAAATTATAATATAAATAATATAATATAATATAAATTATAATTATTGATCTAAAAATCGGAAAAGTCTATGGAATGATGGAATGTCAGTAACAGTAGTAAAATAGTGGGTAAATTATATCACTGGACAATTGTTATATATATTTATAATCAATACTTGAAACCATCGCTACGTGATGAAACTCCGTAATTACGAAATTGAGGATAACAAGGACAATAATACATTTCACAAAGGTTTCATTTATTACGAAGTAAAGGCATCACCAGGTGCAGATTGGACTAGCGTGTAAACAGGTACATATTTGTTTACAAGTCAATTCGGTCTATGCCTGGTTATATCCTCACTGTACAATAAATGAAATATTTATTAAGCACACACATCGATTATTTAATATATTTATAATTTATCCATTATATTAGGATTTGTTTGTTTGTAATTAAGCACAAAGCTACACAATGGACTATCTGTGCTCTGACCACCACGGGTATCGAAACCCGGATTCTAGCGTTGTAAGTCCGCAGACATACCGCTGTACAACTAGGGGGGATTATATCAGGAACTTTTCTAGAGGAGCTAAAAAAAGCTGTTTTAATTTCAATAGACAAAAAGGTGATAGGTCTATAATTCGTTTAATTATTACTATTACATAGTTATCAACGTTTTCTAACATATTCGAAAAAATAGTGAAAAACAAGTTCACCAGATTTTTAAATAAGCACAATTGTTTCTCTACAAATACGTGTATATCTAGAGAAAATTGGGTTACTGAAAAGGCACTATTAAATTTCACAAAAACGTGTGGGAGTTTAGACATTAATAAAAAAAAACTATTTTTGGAAGGCGTTTGTTACAGTGTCTAATCAAATATTAGATAGAACGTAAATTATAGGGATAAAAGGTATTGCAATAAAACGATTTAAATCTTGTTTATATAAAACAATATAGGTTGTAAGAATAAAAAAATAAGTTTAGTAATGTGATTATAATAAAGTATGGTGTTCTACAGGGTTCTGTACTTGGATCGATTTTTACATTATACATAAATTGTTTATATGATATGAACTTGAATTATAAAATTTTACTGTGTCTACTTATGACACAAGATTAACATACAACTCTGCTAATATAGAATTGAATTATCAGTTAAAAAAATAAGTTGCAACCAACATTATTTTGGTTTTTGAAAATAAATTATGTATTAATATAACAAACAAAAAATACGTATTTTGAATTAAAAAATAAAATTGTTATAAATGAAGATGATTTTAAATTATATATATATATAAGCCACTGTTCGTAACACTGCCTCTGTCGGTCACGCTCGACTCTGTTGGTAACGTTCAAATTGGCTCAGTGAGTTGTCTCAAATAGAAGTATCAAATTCAATCCCTCAGAAACTTTTAAATCAATTATTGTTCCCTGTTTATTTTCAAAGTATATTTTAATAGAATAGCCTCAAGATAAGTGTTTTGCCACAGACCCCAAATATTCCTGCTTAAAACTTATGATTCCCAGTGTACCTATTATGAAATTCGTTTCTACTAGGATAAATAGTTAAGATATAATGATCTTAAGTATGACGTTTTATAATTATTCTGTGAAATTCTTGCTGTGTAAAGTTGAGACTGGTCTTTAATCATTCTAATTGTTATTAATTGAAACTCTTAATGTTTTAAATTTTATCTGGAATATTATATGATAACAGTATTTATAATTTACAAAACAAAAAGTTGAGAGCCTGACCTTTCATGTTCTTCCAAGATAAAGTCTGTAAAATCCAAGTTGATTCTTTCGCCGCTAGGAGCACGAATATTGTAGTAACATTCTAACAGTTTCGTATATGGTTCGGGATAACCAGGACTGGCAATGACGTCACGAGGGTGGCTGGCTTGTAGAAAAATGGTCCTGTTGCAGTCTATCCGTTTGGAGGTTTCAACGTGAACTTTTATACAAAGAAAACATATATTATAATACTATTATTTCTCATGTACAACTTTTAATTTGCTGTCAGAACTACTAGACCTGCTGTTAGAGGTATTATTCAAATGTTCAGTTTTGAAACTGCCGAACACCTATATTCACTTAATACAACATGTGACTTCATGTAGTTAGATTATACTCATAAATGTGGAGCGACAGTGTTATTGGCATGACAATGTGTCTATTAAAATTCGCCCAATAATGTGTAACTGTAGACAAAAATGTACGGCCACAATAAAGTTTTTACAGATACAGCACTGGACATATTATATAGTATTGCCATTTTGCTATCTGCATCACGTACAACACTCTCGTCAGCAGAGTCCCTTTCACCAAGTACGTACTACTCTCGCAACAGGAATGTATCTTTGTGACAGTGGAAGCCTGGATACGATAAAACTGATGAACATGTGTAGAGCATCAAGTTAAACTTTTTTCTGAGCGACCTTGTAAATACTAGACACATGATGGGTGACCAATTGATGATTTGTTATATAGAAGTTTCCTAGCGAGTAGAGCTGTGATGGTACTTGATCCGTAACAGATTCTGTCAACCTTATGATGAAATAAGATGTAACTATCAATGTGCGTAAGGTGATCTCGAATACAAATGTTGCATAAATAGTAATTCCAGAAAGTAGTTTTCGGGAAGGAAGAGGAAGTCGAGCAATGTAGCACATGTCATATGAAACCATTACAACACATGTGAGGCTAGCCATTTTTACCTCAATAGTCAGATGGCAAACAGTAGTGGGACAGTGTTTCAATCACAAAAAGAAAGAAAGATGAAACCATCCCTGTGATATGTAGAGTTGGGTAAGCCCTTTCTGAATCTAAGCGTTGCTGGAAACAGCACTAATCCAGATCACTAACGCTACTTTGCCTTTTATGGGTGAAAGAGTGCACAGTCTCCTTAATGCTAATACCCTTTCTAATCGCATTTCTTACGACTTGCTTTGCCATTTCACACAGTTTTTGTAATTTAGAAGTTTCGGGAAATAAAACCCACCATGTAGCACCTAGTTGAATTTTTCTATTCACAGCATTCTCTGCAAGTATAAATGCCGTTCTCCAAAAAGTACTATTCCAAATCAAGTTCTGTCTTCTGCATGTAATCCTATCTGCATTTACAGCGTGACTTGTTCATGACATGTTCAAGGATATCCACTCTACTTCGCCATCCAATTTTTACTGTTGTTTGAGGAGGTAGGTTATTTTAGAACATGAAAGACAATCCTTACTTTATTGATAATTGTGTTTTGTAAGTTATGATTCATTCTTCAATTGTTTTTGTTGGTTATTCTTGGCCTTTTAAATATTATAATTTGTATTTTATGTGGGTTGAGGATAACTTGCCATTTTTGATACAACTACGCAAGTTTATCTTTTACAAGGCAATATTGGGGAAGAGAGTAAGCGACGAGTTTTTCTTCAAAGTAGACTTGTGTCTACGGTTTGGTCATATCATAGTTATGCTTTCAATAACACCGGATCGCGGTCAACTCAACGAGTACAACATCTAGGTATAACAACAGCTTACCAAAACCACGATATTTTTGCCACCTAAACTGGTAAGTACACTATCCTTTTCTAGAAACGCTAACTCTTTCTCAAACAAGATACACCTAAACTTTCTTAATTCCCCTCAGAGGAGCAATAACTCACGATGTCTTCCCCCTCCCCCACAAATCAAATTCAAATATTACATAAAATATATCGCAAACGCAAGCAGTACCAAACCTACCACTAATTATCACTGTTGAAGCACACAAATGGCCTGAATACGCCTTCAACAGCTCAAAAATCAATTTACTCATACCACGCATGGTAAAAACAATAAATAATAACATAAATGACCAATAAATATAATCAATGAAGAAATATAAGAAAAATCAAATACTCAAGATATCACAACAACACTATAATCTAGGATACTACTTAAGAAGAACAACACACCCATATCACTGATAACAGTAATCTCAAGGATAATACTCCACAAGAATAACACATCAACAGCACTGATAACAGTAACCTCTAGGACAGGGCTTCCCAAACTTTTTAGAATCGCGACCCACTATTCATGACCACAGCTTATGGCGACCCACTCAAATTTACTGGGCAAAAACATATGAAAGAATAAAAAAAATATTATTTATTCATATTCACGTATTTCAATTACATTTAAAAATACTCACGTTATTAATCAATTAGATAGCATTTATAAGTTCTGGAAATGTTATTGAAAATACCGAGGCGTGTGTGAAGGATGTGCTTGTTTCTTGTTACTGTCAAGAATGGCATTGACATCAACATCAATGTGGGTTAGTTTCAGGCGTAAGGAATTTGACAATTGAAGTTTATTTCGGAATTTGTTTTTGATTCCTACCAATGCTGAAAATCCAACTTCACAATGATATGAAGATGAGAAAGGGAGAAGTACCTTCAAAGCTTCAGTGGAAAGGATTGGGTACGGTTTTCGAACAGACACCCAGAACTGTATCCGTTTTCTGCTGTTAACGTTCATTTCGAACGAAGCGTCCTCAGATAAATCAAAAAGTTCTTCCCCAGCTTTTGTCGAAATCCCACTCGTTATGTCAGGCTGAAAGGGGTTCATAATCCATTTTTTCTCTTGGATA